GTTCCAGTCTCCTGTTGAAAAGGCACTAGGATCTGTGTCATTTCCCATGCTGCAACCCACTGCACTGGGTAGAACAACGGTGCTGCCCGGGAGTCTCCTGGCCTGGCTCCCTGTTTCTGTCCCCTGTTTAATCAGATGAGTGGGCAACTCTGCCTTCCCAGAGCTCCAATCACCAGCTTAAAAGGGCAACCAGACCAGTGTAGTTTGTAAGGAGGACCACCGCGCTGGGTGCTGGCAAAATAGCCGTGCTGGCCAAAATAGCCACGCTGGCGACCCGTGCAGATATTTATTGCCCACAGACCAGGAGATCCCCTGGTCTGTGGGCAATAAATATCTGTTTGGAAATGTGGTGTCCACTCACCCTCTGTGCTTTCACTGGGAGCTGCAATCCTGAGCTGCTCCTAAACTGCCATCTTGGATCCTCCTATCTGGTTTTTGTTTTTCTGGAGACAGAGTCTCACTTCATCACCCAGGCTGGAGTGTAATAGTACAATCTCGGCTCCCTGCTACCTCCACCTCCTGGGTTCAAGCAATTCTCATATTTCAGCCTCCCAAGTAGCTGGGATTACAGGTGCGCACCACTAGCCTTGGCTGATTGTTTGTATTTTTAGTAGAGATGAGTCTTCTCCATGTGGGTCAGTCCACTCTCAAACTCCTGGCTTCAAGTGATCCACCCACCTCCACCACCCAAAGTGCTGGAATTATAGGTGTGAGTGACAGCACCCAACCTCCAGTGAGTAATCTTTTCATATCCATTTGACAAAAAGATGCCACCGAGGATGACTGTATACTGCACTTAGTCTGTGGCTGAAAAACATCTAATGAACCACAAGGGAAAAGTATTACTAACCCACTTTATGTATGAGAAGCCTGAGGCCAAGGGAAATTACATGGCATGCCCAGAGTCTCCCCGCTAGGAAGTGGCAGAACTGGCTCTTGAATCTTAGTCTTTTGCTTTTCTTAGAGGTGTCCAGTTCATGTTTTTTATACATCCCTTTTTGAATCATCCAAATCTACAAGTCAAGGAATATGCTTTCTAATTTATTTCATGATAATAACACTTCATATGGTGTTTACATGTACTAGTGACCTATTAGGGAGACATCATTATCGTTCCCATGTTGTAGATGAGAAAGAGAGACAGAAATGCTAAGTGACTCTTACTCAGGTCCTAGAGCTACTTAAATGGGGAAGCTAAGATATGAACCAGCATTCCAGCTTCAGAGACCCTGCCTTTAACCACTATATACCTCTTCCTTCTAGTAATAAGAGCTAACACTTCTTACTATGTCCTAGGCAAGTTTTAGGAGTAAATGCTGTTATCATTTTACAGACAAGAACTGAGGCATGGAGAAGTTAACAGTGTGCACTAATAAGTAACATAGCTAAGATTTGAATCTAAATAGCACAGCCAAAACTCATACGCTTTTTGTCCAGCCAGGCTTTCCAGCTTCAGAACCTGTCTTCTCATGTACTGTGTTATCCTGCCTTTCTTAAAAATCTGACCAAATTTTGCAAAGACCACCAGGGTGATCTCCACACTCATGGTCTATAGATCTCAGACAGCAGGTGAACAATCATGGCATGCCTTCATGCACTCATCCTGACTTATCTTTTGTCTTACTTTAAATGAGAACTGACAGTTGTGATGGGGCCAGCTATGACCCACTTCCTCAGGCAGTGGATATTGTCCTGACACGGCAGAGAGGATAATCTTGTAATTCAAAATGAGCACAGGTGGACATACGTGCAACCTGGGTGAGAGCCTGAGGGGTCAGAGGCACTACTGCAAAAGAGATCACAAGCCTCTGACCTTTAAGATAATACCTCTCCAGGTGAAAGATTTTGCTAATGCAATGGAAGAAAGAGAAATCTATTGCTGAGTGTATGATAATAACACTTCATACGGTGTTTACATGTACTAGTGACCTATTAGGGAGACATCATTATCCTTCCCATGTTGTAGATGAGAAAGAGAGACAGAAATGCTAAGTAACTTATGGTGTCTCACACCTGTAATGTCGGCAATTTGGAAGGTCGAGGTGGGCAGATTGATTGAAATCAAGAGTTTGAGACTAGCCTGGGCAACATAGCAAAACCTAATCTTTACAAAAAAAAACACACAAAAATTAGCCAGATGTGGTATGTACACCTGTGGTCCCCGCTACTCAGGAGGCTGAGGTGGGAGGATGGCTTGAGCACGAGAGGTGGTGGTTACAGTGAGCTGAGACCAGGTCACTGCACTCCAGCCTGAGTGACAGAGCAAGACTCCATCTCAAGAAAAAAAGAGAGAGAGAGAGAAATCTATCATGTGAAGATGCTATCGAAGGGGAGACATGGGAGCCTTCTGAAGGTAGAAAGACAGGAGAAAGACAAGTCAAGATGATCCACTGGGGTGAAGGGGATCACGGCACTCACAGAGGCAGTAGGTGGAGCAGGGAAAGGGAAAGAGGCAAGAGGAGAACTAAGGTTCCTTAGATGCCCACGTATGCCATGTACCCCCAACCTTTATCCAATTCCATTTTAAAACAGAAATGTGCTATGAAAGCATTGTGGTAAACTGACTCACAATATGAATGATTTAAGTTGAGAGTCAAAATCCTTGCCCACGGAGATGTGAATTGCTGGATCCCACACCTGTGGTTGTATAGCAGCCTCCACGATTGCCTTGCAAGTGTTATTGCCAGAACTCAGGACTGAGTAAATGCCCACCCAGGCCAATCGCTTTTCCTTATTTTGGTTTTGAAATTCTTTTAAACTTTAGGGCTATGTCAATATCGGTAAACTGTGCATAAATAGCTTGGCAGGTCCCAAGAGACAACTGAAGCTCAAGCACTATCTTAAAACAGGTTCCCTGGGTCTGTTTTGACGTCAGTGAAAGAAACCCTTAATACAGTGACATTTACATTAAGACTGTGCTGAGCAAGCATCTGCCATTTTTTTTCTTCTGTGGGCAAGAGGGATGTGATTTGCCTGCTTTTCTTCCTGAACTTTAAGCTTTAAGGGCACTATACAACATGGGATACATGATTTTTAAAATCAACCAATGAGTAGTTACTTAGGGCCCTCCAGAGACCCAACACTGGGCTGTCCGGATACCAACACAGACGAAACCACAGTGCGTAGCACTAAGTATTATATGATTAAGAACTCAACTGCTGAAAAAAAATGAGAGAGAATAAGAGGAAAAAAGGGACAAATTGGTCAAGAGGTGGGACATAAACAAGCCATTGGAGTGGAAGCAATGTATGATGAGAGGGGAGGCAGGCTTTCAAACAGACAGCCAGATGTGAGCAAGGATCAGGAGCAGGGACATTTGCAGAAAAAGGTAAAACCTGGCTGCCCTTAGAGCGGAAATACAAACAGCAGGCTGAGGCTAAGTTCTTACAGGCTTAAAAAACATGTGTTGGATACTATAATCAACAGACCAGAGGCAGAAATACAAAAGCAGAAATGTTGACCCACTCTAGGAGGAAGAACCCTTTGAAGGTTTGGGCAGGAGTGTGTTTGATGGATGCGTTGCATTAGGAAATCTGGCCTGGCTGCCACATGTTGCAAGGCTGCCTGAAGGGAGAAGAACCTAAGGCCAGAAATCCAGAAAATATGGGTGCCTAGGAGGGAAGAAAGAGGATTTAAACCAGCGTGGAAGGGGAAAAGCAGATGAACAGGGCACGTCCACGCAGAGCTGACACTGATGACTATCTGGATGTCACCATCTCCGCTCACCTTCTGCTTTACCAGACATGCAGATCTAGAGCAGACATCAGATGCTCATTGAGCAAGTCAAGGTCTGTGGGATCTGAATCAGCCAAGCTCGACTGGCAAAACTAACAACTGGAACACAGAACTGTAGTGTGCATATAGCATATAATAACAGTTGCAATTTATCCAGTGCTCACCACGTATTAAAATCTTCACATGCTTCTCTTTATCCTCCAGAACCTTTCAAGATAGGTATCATGATCTCAAATAATGAAGAATAATGTCGTTATTCCCAGACCTAGACCCAGGCCAGGTGCAAGGTGAGCACACAAGAAATATGTGTGGAGTGAATGATGAGCAATAAGGAAACCAAGGCTCAGAGGTGAAATGACGTGCTCCTAAGTGTTAGAATCCCAATTCAGAACCAGGACTGTCTGAACCTTTTGTGTTACATGATCAGTCTGCTTTGCTTTGTTAAGAAGCCTTAAAGAAATTCTGGGTGGCTGAAAGGGCCCTGGAAAGAACAATATCCTAGCATTGAGGAATTCACTCAGAAGAGATCTCCTAAGGGAAGAAATAGACAGATACTTTCTCCTTTTTTTTTTTTAATTATACTTTAGGTTCCGAGGTACATGTGCAGATCATGCAGGATTGTTGCTAAATGCCCTCTCCGCTACATATCGGAAGGCTGAAATTAACAAGTGGAATTAACAAGTTACTTGTGGTAACCCTATAAGGAGTTAGGGCACCTGTGGCTCAAAGGCACTCATTCCCTAACAACAGAGACTAAGAGAATCAGCATTTCTGGGACCACAGAAAGGATTTTGCTTTTACTTGGACCACCGGACCTTTCCACGTGTATCAATCTCTTCCGTCCCCACACTGCCCCTGAGAAGAGGACCAAGCAGGCTTGTCCTCTCATCTGAGAAATGGGCCCCGGCTCAGAGAGGTAAAGAGATTCACTCCCAGAATCTCACCCCTCACGTGTAGCAAAACCAGAGCTGAGTATGGATTTTCTTTTGTCTGCCTTTTACTGCAGAGAATTTGGAAAACACCAAAAAGCACTAGGAAGAAAACTAAAGCGATCTGTAACCTCATTACCAAGAAATCACCACAGTTAATACCTTGATGTATCTCTTTCCAGACTTTCAAATTCTTTTACAGAAATGAGACTACACTATGTGGACATTCTCTTTGTAACGTTGTTTCACGCTTTGTTTCAATTTCACTCCCCTCATCCCTTGAGCTTGGCTCACAGGGAGCAGATGGCTGATTGTCCCTTCATCATATCCTCCCAGTATTCGTCCCTGTGGATGACCGCATCTACGCTGTGGTCATGAAAGCCCTGAACAAGAAGGGTGACTCAGTGGGCCTCTGGCGAAGAGCAGATGAAAACTGCCGCAGCAACGCCACGTACTACATGAAATATCAATACGTGACAGTCTTAGAGGCACAGTGGCAATCTCCTGAATCTGAGAACATAACGGAAGTGGAGATACAGTAAGAACCTAACTTGTTTTGCTTTGGGCTCTACAATTTTCATGTTGGGTTTATGCAGTTTTACACTGAGCTAGGAGGACTTAAAATACAATCCAGATGTGATGTGAAGAACTCAGCGGCTGCACTTCATTACCATCTCACAGTGCTCTGCTATACATACCTTCCACCTGTAGGAGCTTGCAGATACACACATTCACACTGACACCATACACCACACACCACACATACACTCACACCCCACACACACATACATACCACATGCCACACATACACTCACACCCCACACACACATACATACCACACACCACACATACACTCACACACCACACACACATACATACCACATGCACCACACGCCACACATACACTCACACCACACACACACATACATACCACATGCACCACACGCCACACACTCACACCCCACACACACATACATACCACATGCACCACACACCACACATACACTCACACCCCACACACACATACATACCACATGCACCACACGCCACACACTCACACCCCACACACACATACATACCACATGCACCACACACCACACATACACTCACACCCCACACACACATACATACCACATGCACCACACGCCACATACACTCACACCCCACACACACATACATACCACATGCACCACACGCCACACATACACTCACACCCCACACACACATACATACCACATGCACCACACACCACACATACACTCACACCCCACACACACATACATACCACATGCACCACACAGACACACACCACACACCTCACAACATACATACCCCACACACATACACACCCCATACACACCACACATACAACCACACACACCACATGCATATATGCCACATGTACCACACACATACATATGACACACCATACACACATACCACACACACCACATGCACCACACACACACCACACGTAAACTTACACTCCACACACACCACACACATATATACCACATGCACCACACAAACATACCACACACCTCACACACACACACCACATACACCATACACTCACACCACACACACATACATAACACATACACATCATAGAGGTACCACACACACACCCCACACATATACCACACACACCATACAGATACCATACACACAACACACACCACCCACACACACCACATGCCACTCACACTACACACCACACATATACCACATATACACACTACACACATATCCTACAGACACCACACACACACACCAGACCATATTCCCACACATAGCCCCTTTCTACACACACACACACACACCCTGCTTATGCCCAACATCCTCAGAAAAAACAGCACCCTCTTTGTTTCCTATCCCCCACATTCAAACTGGAGAACCATTTTTGAACACACGGATTCATTTTGGAAATGGCTCGCTAACAGAAAGTGTGATGGTTGTCTCATAAAACTGACTTCTGGTGTCACACAAAATGGACACACTCGGATTCTGAGGTAAGGTCACCTAGAATCACATTGGACTTCAACAACAAACCTTCCTCCGAGCCGGGATCTGTCATTAGGTTTATTTAGGAACCACATGTTGTGAGGTACGCAAGGCTTCCAGATTCCATTCTGTACTGAAAGGGCTGGTCTGACCCGCAGGCTGTGTCGGCTGGAACAGTGTCTCTGTGGAATCTGGTAATGATGACAGTGCTGTGAAACCACGCTTCCCTCTCTCTCCTCATGCTGGGCCTGGTCAGACCTAACTGGCTTTGGAGGAGGGACTTTTGTGCCTACAGAGTAGAAACCAAAGGGAGCTACCACAATCCAGCCTCCCCGTGACAGCAGTTGCTTAAAAGCCAGCCAAGGCTAATTAGGGCAACAACTTTTTCATCTCGCCTCATTAAAGCCTCCACATTCCATGCATCAAGAGATGAAAGACCAAACTATGACCATGTGCAAGACAAATGGCCCAATCCCACTGACGGTGTGGTCTCCAGATCCCTCCTACTTACATATGACACACCATACACACATACCACACAACACACACAACTCCTACACTTGCACCCCCGTGATAACACGCTGGCCTCCCTGCTTCTTTACACCATGTGGGCATATAATATGTGGGGCTCTGCTCCACATATTATGGGGGATGCAGAAAGTAGGGGATGCAGGCAGTGGTGGGCTGGGCACAAAAGGGACGGGAAAAGGTCCCTACTCTTGGGACGTTACAATGAGTTTGGGAAGGCGAGGTTAGGTCAGCAAGGCCTATATAGAAATGACTGAGGTTAAACATCACTTCCTCAAGAAAGCATTCCCTGGGCTGGGCGCAGTGGTTCACACCTGCAATCCAAGCACTTTGGGAGGCCAAGGTGGGCAGATCACCTGAGGTTGGGAGTTCAAGATCAGCCTGACCAACATGGAGAAACCGTCTCTACTAAAAATACAAAGTTAGCCAGGTGTGGTGGCACACGCCTGCAGTCCCAGCTGCTCTGGAGGCTAAGGCAGGAAAATCAATTGAACCTGGGAGGCGGAGATTGCACCTTGACCACACCATTGCACTCCAGCCTGGGCAACAAGAGTGAAACAAGAAAGAAAGAGAGAGAGAGAGGAAGAAAGGAAGAAAGGAGGGAAGGAGGGAAGGAGGGAGGGAGGGAGGGAGGGAGAGAGGGAGGGCGGACAGGCAGGAAGGAAGGGATTCCCTGAACCTACAAATCAAATATAAACTCCCAGTTATACACCCTCAGAATTTCTTCCCCTTCTTTACAGCGAACATCACAGCTCTGTTCAATTCTTTTTTTTTTTGAGACAGAGTTTCGCTCTTGTTACCCAGGCTGGAGTGCAATGGCGCAATCTCGGCTCACCGCAACCTCCGCCTCCTGGGTTCAGGCAATTCTCCTGCCTCAGCCTCCGGAGTAGCTGGGATTACAGGCACGCGCCACCATGCCCAGCTAATTTTTTGTATTTTTAGTAGAGACAGGGTTTCACCATGTTGACCAGGATGGTCTCTCTTGACCTCATGATCTACCCACCTCGGCCTCCCAAAGTACTGGGATTACAGGCTTGAGCCACCGCGCCCGGCCTCAATTCTTTACCTGGGTAATTGATCACCCATTTAAAATCTATCCCTCTGAAGACACTGTAAATACCTGAGGGTGAAAACCAGGCCTGTCTTGCTCAACCACTGCCACCTCAGTACCAGGCACAGTGACTGACATTTGGTGTCCTTTCATTAATTATCTAACACATATATGAACAAGGGGCTCCTATAATAATGGATTCATTGCTAGGATAACAACAGACCAAGTGGTGCCGGTCGTTTACTGAACATAAAGCACCTATCATGTGTCAGGCACTGTTGACAACAGAACCTGCCTTATGAAGCTGGTCCTCCCATGAGGACAGAGGCTCCTAGCAAGTCAGTGCAACAGGGCGTCATGCCTGGCTTAGTGACAACAGGGAGAAACAACTTCATAGAAGTCATCATTGAGTCTACAAGTAGATGTGACCAGGACAGGTATTACAGGCAGAGGGACTGACATGAACAAAGACCAGAGGTATGTGTACCCTCCTGTGGGCAGTCCAGGGTGCTGACATTCGTGGGGGTGAGGGAATGGGAGAGGTTGTCTGGAAGTTGACCGAGGTGGTGGAGGACCTTATCAATAAGAAGCAGACGAGTACTTAATGATCAGCTCATTATGCCATACAGACAGTAAGCACAAAAGGAATTAAGAGGTTGGGAAGTCAGAAATGTGAGCAGAACTTGTGAATTCTGCATGAAGTCCTCGCCATCATCTCTCATTGATTTGCCCTCCACAGAGCTTTCACTGTCACTGCTGAGACCAGAGCCCTGCCTATTCTTTCTACTCTGAAACTGACAGGAAAAGGTGAGTTCCTCTGCAGCCCATTTGCATGTCTGGTAGTGAATTCAGTCGGCCTGGAAAATTATTTTGTGGGTTCCCTAGAAAAGAGGGTCTTCTTCCCACACATCGCTCAGCTATCAGCTGAGTCTCCCTGCACCTTGAGACCTCTGTAAGATTGCCCAACCTGTTGTCCCATGCCCTTTGGAAAACAAAAACCCATCCCTAAGATTTCTACAAATTCCCAGGGTCCTGATATTCTCAGGGTCATCTGTGTTTCCAAATGCCGCTTCCATAGGAGCTGTTTCTGTTCAGTACCACATAAACACAATGTGAAAACACCTGCCTCAATTTCCGCAAGGAATTCCCTCTCACACAAAGCCTTCAGTGGTACAGTAGACTTTAACCAAAGGGGTTTAAAGGGATTGGGGGTGGAAGGTGGGGAGCTGCACAGAGAATTGGTATCACAGAAATAGCAATAATGTCTTTAGTTCTTAAAGTGGTCTTTGGCCACCACCGCTACCACCAGGAATTTTCACAGGCTGTTCCCCCAGCCTCGCACCTCCCTGAGGTTCCTTGCTGTCTTCTTCCCCCTTCCCTTTCTCTTCTCTTACCTCCCTCTAAGGAGCTATATATAACAAATTTAAGGCTAGGCACAGTGGCTCACACATCCCAACACTTTGGGAGGCCAAGGCAGAAGAAACACTTGAGCCCAGGAGCTCAAGACCAGCCTGGGCAACACAGTGAGACTTTGTCTCTATTTTTTTTTTTAATTGACACAGAGTCTCACTCTGTTGCCCAGGCTGAAGTGCAATAGTGTGATCTCAACTCATTACACCCTCCACCTCCCGGGTTCAAGCGATTCTCCTGGCTCAGCCTTCCAAGTAGCTGGGATTACAGGCACAAGCCACCAGGCCCAGCTAATTTTTGTGTTTTTAGTGGAGATTAGGGTTTTACCATGTTGGCCAGGCTGGTCTGGAACTTCTGACCTCAAGCGATCCACCTGCCTCAGCCTCCCAGAGCACTGGAATTACATGCGCAAGCCACCACGCCCGGCCTAATTATTTTTTGTTTTAATTTATAAAAACGTTCCAAAAAGAAGATTCAAAAACATAGGTAACTTGCCTAAGTCCACAGAGAAAGTAAATGGCCAAAAGAAGACTCCTATTCCATATATTTCTTCCCACTTTTCTTAGACTTACATCAAAACCATAAAAATATTTTGTTTTTGAATGACTTTGAAATACAAGATTCGACCGAGAACAAGAAACAGCCTTTCTCACTGTCCAACAATGGGCGGTCCTCACGAGCCCCCAAACACTGAAAGACACCTAGCATGCTGCCTGTTTTCACATTCAATGGCAAATGGTAAAGTGATTATGCCTAATGAAACTATTATATGAATGTCTTAACTATTTCCTTGGTGGCTTTCCCTCTGCAAGAAAACAGATAGTAGTGTCTTCCTTAAGGCCATTGTCAAGATGAACCCTTGTGTAAATGTTACCGGGAAAAGGGGGCCTTGATCCAGACCCTAATAGAGGGTTCTTGGATCTCACACAGGAAGGAATTCAAGGTGAGAGGTAGAGTGTAGTGAAGAGATAGTTTACTGAAAGCTACTCCATTACAGGGAAGGGTGTCCTAAGAAAGCAAGTGGAAGAAACACTGTCTTTAAGTTTTCCTTGTATGGGGCCTTGTCTATGTAAAGACTGAACTAAGCTGTGCCTATGTGTGGGTGGGCTGACAGCATGACAAAATTTATTACTTTACTGATGTAAAGAAAACTATCCCTGACATTTTAGTGTATAAGACTATCAAAGCATAATTATCTTGAAAGCATATAGTGTTAAGGGTATGGGGACATCTGGACTTCCCACTGTTCTAGGAGTGTGTCCTTGTTGGTATCTTCGGTCTGTTTTCTGAACCGTAAACATCTCAGTATCACAGGCTGTGACTGGCGAGGAATGTGCTTGCTACTTTCAAGATGTAGTTGACTTTTAAATGGTGTCACTGACTCTCCTAGGCTCCTGCTTCCCTGCCATAAATGCCAAAAAGGAAAAAAAAAAAAAAAAAAAGGTCTGTTTCTAGGCCCTGGGGAAATGCTAAATAAGATTAGACAATGCTGTCATACTAGAAGGCGCCCTCCAGGTGGGAGGAAGAGTCATTCATCATTCTCTTCCTTCTTTTTTTTGAGACAGTCTCCTCTGTCACCCAGACTGGTGTGCAGTGGCACAATCTCGGCTCACTGCAACCTCCACCTCCTGGGTTCAGGTGATTCTCCTGCCTCAGCCTCCCAAGCAGCTGGGATTACAGGCACCTGCCACCACACCGGGCTAATTTTTGTATTTTTAGTAGAGATGGGGTTTCACCGGCAAGGCTGGTCTCGAACTCCTGACCTCAAGTGATCCACCTGCCTCAGCTTCCCACAGTGCTGGGATTATAGACTCCCAGTCTCTTCCTCTTCCTTATAGACCCTTCTAGGTTCCACGCAGAGTCTTGGAGGTATTCCCACCAATCTCCAGTTTGTTCAGGATCAGACAAACCCTCAGTACGATGAGCCTGGCTTCCTCTGCTTCTCTGCAAATTAACTTCAGGGAACCGATGTGCAATCAGCTCCCTTCATATAAAACTGACCAGTGCCTCTGAAACCACAGAAAGAGAGTTGGGGCTTTGTGCCAGGCACCTTTCTACTAACTTTAAAGCAGGGATGGCCATCCTCAAGTCTGGATGGGATCTAGTTTTTACACGCCCTTGAAATTAGCAAGAAGAAAGTAAAATTGTGCCATTGTGGATCATATTTGCACTGATTAACCTAATCTATTAAAGACAAGAATACATTCAGGAGGAGACTACTCAGCCCAACAACAAGAGTAGCAGGTGAATAAATTCAGTAGGTCTCCACCTCATCTCATAGAACTATGCAGACCTCAGGGTAGAAAGTGTTTCTTCCTTATTTTTGTTACTTAATCCTCTGTGTCCCCCAGCTTTTCCCCTTCTCTGAAAACACTTGGCACTGGAGAAGGGTTGATTGAATTCTGCTCGTGAATCTGGCTCTAGCATTCCATCATATTACCCTCCTTTCTCGAGGGCACACCCACCACCCAACAGAGGTCCTGATGCCATCTTCCAATGCCAACCATACCCTCAATCGTCTTTCCAGTGTCAATCGTACCCTTACCTGCCAAGATTCTCCAGAGCTCAGTCTTCAAGCCTTTCTCTGTGATTATACCCGAGAATATCGGAATCAACAGCCTGGCCAACCGAGTCTTCAGCAGCCCCATCACAGATGCCATTGATATCCTGCTTGCTTTTCTCATCAGCAAACTTCTCTTCTAAAGGGAATAGTTTCCCTTTAGAAACAACTGTTTCTGCCTCCACTGCATTCTCTTACATTCAGTTCCAAGCAGGTGCTGGGATATGTGTGTTATGAAGGCTTTACATTCTCAAATGTGCAAGTCAACTGCCTCTGCTTCAGACCAAAACGAAGACCTGGAGGCAGACTTGGGTCACACAGATGTTCATCTGGATCTTTTTGTAAACATTTAGATCTGGCCAGAATGTAGTCACCTAGAGTTCCCCCTATCAGTTTAACAAGTTGGCAGCCAATTCCACATCCAATCTCAAATTTTGTTCATTGCCAAATTATTCCCCTGCACCCCCTGAGTTTCTGTGGGAAGGATCCTTCCTTGCTTTCAAGATGATCTCAGATTTCTGACCAAACCTACCCAGGTTACAAGGAACTTCTGTGACTTGTGACTCAAGAAGGAAAGGAGAAAGAAAAAATAGTTCTGAGCTTCCCATTTGTCCACACCAGTAAGTTTTGAAGGGCAAGAGAAGAGGAATGAAGTATGTCTGAGCAGCCAATACAGAAAAAAAAAAATGATGCTAGAAAGGCATTTTTGTCACAACAAATAAATTATACTTTAAACAAGAATAATGAATGTGTTCAATTCAAATATAAGTCTTCGATGAGTTAAGTTAAAACACAGGGAATTTTGTCTAATTGTACGTATTTGTGCGTATTAAAGAACCAATCAAACGGTGTGTGTGTGTTTTCAAGACCAGACTTCACGGCAGAATGATCTCAATTTTCATTTCCCTCAAGTGCAAACTGGTCATTTTCCCCCCAATAGTAATTTCCACTAAGAAATGGGCAAAATAGGCCAGGCCCAGTGGCTCACACCTGTAATCCCAGCACTTTGGGAGGCCAAGGCGGGTGGATCATGAGGTCAGGAGTTCAAGACCAGTCTGGCCAAGACGGTGAAACCCTGTCTCTACTAAAAATACAAAAATGAGCTGGGTGTGGTGGCAGGCACCTGCAATCCCAGCTACTCAGGAGGCTGAGGCAGGAGAATGAATCGCCTGGACCCAGGCAGCAGACATTGCAGTGAGCCGAGATCGCGCCACTGCACACCAGCCTGGGCAACAAAGTGAGACTCTATCTCAAAAAAAAAGAAAGAAAAGAAAAGAAATAAATAAATGGGCAAAATATGTTCGTGTGTATAGGCAGTGTTGTTCTCCCACAGTGCCTCAGAGTCAGCCCGGCCCTTAACTGGCTGAGGATGTGGGATAACAACACCTGCCTCTATACGTATATATTTGTGTATAGGGAGCCCTGCGACAGGGTCTGGCAGTGAGAGAGATTGAACTCAACTCCCTATTTCTGATATGTATAATGCAATGCACAACCCCAAGGAAACATGGTATTTCCAGGAATAAGCTTGTAATAAGCAACAAAGTTTTCTTTTAATAACGATGCTGAATTCCAGGATGCCAATTCTTCGCTGTTTCCTAAAATTGTGCACCTTGTAAGAATTCCAATTCTACTTTTCCCTCTCCACTTAGGATACCTTGATGATATCTATCACTCCCTGGTGTTTGTAACTGAAATATAATATGTGTCCTACGTAAATACACAATCTGCTTAGTCGTATATGCTTGCTTAAGTAACTGCCTAAGAGACGGGTTGGTTGTGATTCTTTTGGAGCATCCAAAAATACCAGAAGAAACTAAACAACTAATTTTCCTAAGATTATTCATCTACTAATGCGGGGGCTCAGGGAAGTAGTGTGCTGCTAATCTCTTCTGAAATGCTTCCCCTAAGTTGACTCCGCATTAGCTCTGATGCAAGAACAAGGGGCCCTGGCCAAAAGGCTGAGCCATTTTGTGGGATGAGGAAAAGCCTACAAATGCTCATTTACCTTACCCTTCATTACTATTGCTACAAAAGTACCATAAGAAAGAACCTAAATTTTGTATCCCAAAAGTTCCTGCTTTTGTTAACATTTCCACCTCTCCTCGAAAAAAAAAAAAAATATATATATATATATATATGAAATTTTACTGCAGTGTAATTCACAAAAACAGCACTTTTCTGATCTAGGTAATAGCTATCCCTTGTTGCTTCAGGCTAATTTATCAACAAATATTTATTGAGCATCACGCCAGATATCGTTCTGGGCTCGAGCAAAACGAAGATCTCTGCCCCAGCACATCCTCATCCCATCATTCCCTCACAAAGCTATGCATTCAGAAACACTTTCTATGTGCTGATGCCGCTGGGTGCTTTCGCATGTGCCACGTGTGAAATCCTCATAAAAATGCACTGCCCTGAACATTGCCTGATTATTATCACATTCTTAAAAGTTAAAAAATTCGGGCTGAGCATGGTGGCTCATGCCTGTAATTCCAGCACTTTGGGAGGCCGAGGCAGGTGGATCACATAAGGTCAGGAGTTTGAGACCAGCCTGGCCAACATGGAGAAACCCTGTCTCCACAAAAATACAAAAATTAGCCAGGTGTGGTGATGCATGCCTGTAGTCACAGATACACAAGAGGCTGAGGGAGGAGAATTGAACCCGGGAGGCAAAGGTTGCAGTGAGCCGAGATTCCACCACTGCACTCCAACCTGGGCGACAGAGCTAGACTCTGTCTCTAAATAAATAAATAAAGTAGTAATTAAGTAAGATAGAAAATTGAAGTTTGGAGAATGTCTGCAACTGGCCTCAATCACAGAGCTAGTGAAGGGCAGGAGTACAGACCTGCTCCAAGGACTGTGCTCTCCCATTTAACCACAACATCTCAAAGTCAGCCCCACCCTTACCTGACTGAAGGCTGTGGGATAACAACACCTGTCCTGCTTCACTGAGTTAGTGAGTAATAACTGCTCAGTAAATGAGAGCTGCTGTTATAATGTGTCTTATGCATCTCTTTGAGTTTATACGACTTGGAGTTTGTTAAGTTTCCGGTCTGTGTACATTCATGTCTGACATCAAATTTGGAGCCTGGGCAACACAGTGAGACCCCATCTCTACGAAAGAAGATTAAAAATTAGCCAGATTTGGTACTCCTGTAGTCCTAGCTACTAGAGAGGCTGAGGCAGGAGGATCACATGAGTCCAGGAGTTTGAGGCTGCAATGAGCTAAGACGGTACCACTACTGCACCCCAGCCTGGGTGACACAGCAAGACCCTGTCTCAAAAAAAAAACCTTTTTAAAAACTTTTTTTTTTTAGACAGAGTCTCACTCTGTCATCCAGACTGGAGGGTAGTTGCCCATCTCGGCTCACTACAACCTCCAACTCCTGAGTTCAGGCAATTTTCCTGCCTCAGCCTCCCAAGTAGCTGGGACTACAGGCGACCACCACCATCCCAGCTCATTTTTGCATTTTTAGCAGAGACGGGGTTTCACTGTGTTAGCCAGGCTGGTCTCAAACTCCTGACCTCAGGTGATCTGCCTGCCTCAGCCTCCCAATGTGCTGGGATTACAGGTGTGAGACATGCACTGGCCCTAAAAATCTTTTTATTGAGGTAAAATATACAAATATAATTTGCCATCTTTACCATTTTTAAGCGTACAGTTTGGTGGTAACAAATATATTTATATTCTTTTCTTCCCTTCATCCTCCCCATTTCCCCCACTTCCCAGCCTCTAGTAACCACCATCTACTTTCTATCTTCATGAGATCCACTTTTTTTGGCTTCCACGTATGAATGAAAACATGCTATTATGTGTCTTTCTGTGCTTGGTTTAATTCACTTAATAGAATGGCCTCTAATTCCATCCATGCTGCTGCAGATAACAGAAGTTTGTCCTTTTGGGGGCTGAGTAATATTCCATCAGTAAGATAATATCAGTAATATAATATAATATAATAGCTTACTGATAATATCAGGAAGATAATGTGTGTGTATATGCACATTATCTTTATTCACTCAACTACTGATGGGCACTCAGGTGATTCCATATTTTGGGTATTGTGAATAGGGCTGCAATAAACATGAGAGCACAGATATCTCTTTGATATACTGACTTCCTTTCTTTTGGATATGTATCTAGAAGTAGAATTGCTGGATCACATGGTAGTTCTATTTTTAGTTTTTGACAAACCTCCACACTGTTCTCCATAGTGGCTGTACTAATTCACATTCCCACCAACAGTGTATGAGGATCCCCTTCCTCCACATCCTTTCCAGCATCTGTGAGTGCCTTTCTCTTTTTTTTTTTTTTTTTTTTGAGACGGAGTTTCGCTCTTGTTACCCAGGCTGGAGTGCAATGGCGTGATCTCGGCTCACCGCAACCTCCACCTCCTGGGTTCAGGCAATTCTCCTGCCTCAGCCTCCAGAGTAGCTGGGATTACAGGCACGCGCCACCATGTCCAGCTAATTTTTTGTAATTTTAGTAGAGACGGGGTTTCACCATGTTGACCAAGATGGTCTCGATCTGTTGACCTCGTGATCCACCCGCCTCGGCCTCCCAAAGTGCTGGGATTACAGGCTTGAGCCACGAGTGCCTTTCTCTTTGATTCAAGCCATTTTAAGTGGGGTGAGATGATACCATATTATGATATTGATTTGCATGTCTCTGATGATTCATTGAACATTTTTTTACCTGTTGGCAATTTGTATATCTCCTTTTGAGAAATGTCTGTTCAAATGTTTTGCCCATTACTAAATTTGATTTTTTTTTAACTACTGAGTTGCTTAAGCTCCTTATATATTCTTATTATTGATCCCTTGTCAGATGAATAGGTTGCATATATTTTCTCCCATTCTATGGACCGTCAATTCACTTTGTTGATTGTCTCCTCTCTGTACAGAAGCTCTTTAGCTTGACGTAATCCCAGTTGTCTATTTTTGCTTGGGTTGCCTGTGCTTCTGAGGTCTTACACAAGAAATCTTTGCCCAGACCAACATCTCAAAGTATTTTCCCAATGCTTTCGTCTAGTAGTTTCATAGTTTCCGGTGTTAGATCCAACTCTTTAATCCATTTTGATTTGACTTTTCTGTATATTGAGTGACGGGGGTCTAGTTTCATTCTTCTGCATATAGTTATCCCGTTTTCCCAGCACCATTTATTGAAAAGACTGCACTTTTCCCATTGTAAGTTTTTGGTGCTTCTGTCAAAGATAAGTTGGTTATAAATGCATGAATTTATAACTGGGTTCTCTCATCTGT